AGAGACATAGAGACAGAAAGCGAGAAATCACCCCCCAGGGGGGATGGCCACGCCGCAATCCCTTCTCCTCCATTCTCCTCTCGGGATCTTGGGCACACACGCACACGCGCCCGGCGTGAGTTTTAAGCCACCGGGTCCGGGACACGAACCGCGGTCGACTACGTGGGAGTCCAGCGACATAGCCATTACGCTAACTGCTGGTTCCGTAGCCCAGTTGTTAAACATCAGAAATGCCAGTGTTCAGGGGTCAGCAGGCTGCATGGTGGTTAAGGTGATGGACACTCCCACATGGAGTGTGGACTTGACCACGGTTCGAGTCCTAGACTTGGTGGCTTGCTTTCTTACTTTCCCTTTCTCTCTCTCTTTGTGTCTCTCTCTCTGGTCAAATTAAAATGAATGAATGACTAAATAAAATTAAATTTTTTTTAAAAAAAAGAAATACTATTGTTCAAAGACTAATAAGGATTTCCTTAGCAGAATAAATCTGTTAACCTCCACACAAAAATGTATAAAGAGTAGCATTGCTCTAACTTGTGGATTGGGAGTTTTTTTTTTTAAGAATTATTTCCTTTATTTTATTTATCATTATTGTTATTTTCAATTTGACCAGAGTGAGACAGAAAAAGAGAGAGAGAGAAAGTGAGAAAACAAGCTGTTAGGTCTGACACTTGAACTGTGGTCAGCCATGTGGGATTCCAGCGCCCCTGGAACCACCATGGCACCTGCTGGCCCTGGATTTGGAGTTTGTATGCTTGTCTTGAGTGAAAAATGCCTCAATTAGCAGAGGTGATCAACTTTCATTCCTCATATGTGACAATGTAAAATGTTATATTATTTTAAAGTTTGTGAAGATGGCTTTTCTTTAAAATGAATCCTTATGTGCCAAAAGATGCTTTAGTTTTTCCTCTTTTCTAGATTTTATCTTAAACTTCAAATATACATCTCATAAATTTAAAACAATTATTTCTGTATTTAATTTCATTTGTTATTATTATTTATTTTTAAAATTTTGACCAAAGAGACAGAGAGAGCAAGAGAAAGGGAAAGTGAGAAAGCAAGCCTTCAGGTCCAGGACCCGAGCCACGGTCAGTCATATGGGAGTCCAGCACTTTAACCACCATGTCACCTGCCGGCCCCCTTCATACATGTTTTAAAAAGTAGTACAATATAATCATTAATGTTTAACCAGTGGCCCACTATGGCATCCTGGCCTTTCCTAATAACAACAGTTAACATTTATTGAGCACTTGCTATATGACAAACACAACAGGTATCAATTTGTGAGCATATTATATTTTTGTAAATAACTGGCCTGGATTTACTTACACCAGCCTTTACTCACTAAACTCTCTAATATTAGTGTTATTAGTGCTTCTACCATGAAATGTGGCAATAACACTATAACAATATTCCAAAGCTAACAACTCCTTTCAAGTTACTCAGCCAGACCCCTAATTACTGGTAGGAAGAATGATGTTCACCTCTCCAATTAAATATTTCAGGGCACACTTGGCTTCTAAAATGGTAGCAATATTTTCCCAGCGTTGTTTTGGCCTGTCTTCACTTTCTGCATCCAGTAGCTTCTGCTGCAGGTCAGCGATCTGAGCACTCCTTCAGGGAAAGAAACAGTGAGCATCATTGCAAGTAGCCTCAACAACACCAAAAAGAGGGGAAAGGCTCTGAGGAGAAACTTAGATAATTTTAAGAACAGAACTAATAGTTAAACATCATCTAAATAATGACTGAGTCGCTTGGTTGGGATTTTATACAGCATCTCAAATCTTGTTACAAAGGGACTCCAAAAGAGACTATCCAAATGGTTTTATTTTATTAAACAGTGATTGAAATAAATGGGTCGTATATTGGAACTCGAAAAGATCTAAGATTTTTGTTGTAGTAACTTGACAATGTAACTTTGTCGTCAGGCCCTATAAGGTCAGACTGTGATAATGGTGGCCCACCCACACAAGGATAAGATTCATTATTGAGATCTGAAGGAAAAATCACAAAAGAACAAAAAGGTAAATGCTCTTTGCTAGATCAAATACCAAATTTGACACCTAAGCTGGTGTTATCTTCGATAGGTTATCTCAAAGACCGTGCCATAGAATTGAGAAGTTTATAAAAATACTAGATATTCTGACCCTGGTTATCGCTTCAGGATGCTTTCTGACTAAGTAAGACCCAGACCAAAGTCTAAACAATATTTCTGTTTCATTAATAGCTTTCTTCTTAAATTTTTTCTGTGTCTATTAAGAGTGAATATACCAGTATGTGCTTAATATGCAGTGAGGTACTACAATTAAGATGGATATAGAAATCAAGATAGCAGTGCTCAAGACTCATTCACAACTCTTTTTTTTTTTTCTTTTACTTTTTGTTATAGCGTATATGTGCTCACCAGAGACAGAGAGAGAAAGAGAAAGTGAGAAGTCACTCTCACTCCGAGAGGGTGACCATAGTCCCTTCTCTTCCATTCTCCTCTTAGGATTTGGGGCATGTGCATGCATGTACCGGGCATGATTTTCAAGCCACTGGGTCTGGGACACACACTGCAGAGTTGGTCATGTGGGATCTAGTACCTTAACTTCACCTTCATGCCACCTACTGGCCTTCCTTCACACTCTTAAAAATTATTATTATTTTTTTGGAGAGGTTTTTGTTATAGGGCACGTGCACTCGCCAGAAAGACAGAGACAGAGACAGAAAGTGAGAAATCACCCCCCAGGGGGGATGGCCATGCAGTAATCCCCTCTCCTCCATTCTCCTCTCAGGATCTTGGGCATGCATGCACACATGCCTGGCATGGATTTAAGCCACCAGGTCTGGGACTCAAACCATGGCCGACTACATGGGAGTCCAGTGAAATAGCTGTTATGCCAACCGCTGGTCCAAAAAATTATTGATGAAAACTAAGAAATTCTATTTATAAATGTAATACCTATGAATACTTATACTATTAGAAAACAGAAAAATTAAAAATATTAATTTTCTTAAAAAAGATTCATTATATATTAACAAAACATTTTATGAATAACTATATTTTCCAAGACAAAAAAATAATAGTGAGAAGAATGAGGTTATTTTATATTTTTTAAATCTCTGTCATGTCTGGTTTACTAGAAGACAGCTGGATTCTCACACTTTCCTCGGCAATCATTTGTGACATGCTGTTCTGGCTGATTTAAATGATGACAATCTGGCCTCACATGGATTTGCAGTTGGAAAAAAGGTAGTTAGTATTTTAACAGCTTTTTCAGATAATTGTAGATGTTCTTTGAAATTACACTAAAACCCAGTAAGTAGTAATTAATGTTCCTTAAAAATTAATTGTGGGGTCAGCAGGTGGCGTGGTAGTTAGCGGTACTGGATTCCCACATTGCTGATTGCGGTTCGAGTCCCAGACCTGGCAGCTTACTTTCTCACTTTCTCTCTCTCTCTTTCTGTCTGTCTCTGGTAAAATTAAAAAAATAAGTAAGTAAATAAATAAAGTTAAATAAAATAATTATTTAAAAATAATTTTAATGTGGAATCTGAAACTATTATTGATAAATTTTTATAGTCTTTTATATAAAAATCCACTACTCTATCTATGCTATAATCTGAGTAGATCTTTTACCCAGACATGATTCTGGAATGCCATTTGGACAATATCAGTCTACTGAGTCATGCAGGCCCTCCAAATTTCATTATACAATACAAAAAAGATCATATTTGTTAGTATCACTACTGGTCTCATCAGAAAAGTTATGAAAAATTGTCAAGCTCATGGTAGCAGATGTAAGTTTTCCAAAACTCTAAGTTTTGCTTGAAAGTAAAATTTTATCTTTGGTAACAAATACTGTCAGTTGTTTTCCTTAAAGTGACAGGCTCACTCTATCATTTTTGAGAAAATATATGCCATGTAGCCAAGTCTGAATAACTATAGTTTGTCTGTCAGTCATTCTTTTAAGAAAAAATGATGTTTCATGAAAAAGAGGTCTGCTAAGTTTAGACCTCAACTGCTCAAACAGGCAACCATCATACTCAGCATGTAGCAAAAGTGCTTTATGTGTTCTTTCCATTTCATCGCACAGGATATTAAAAAGATGTGAATTCAAGGGTCAAGATTTAATAAAATTAACAATTTTTACTGCTTTATGAAAACCATTTGTAAGTGAAACTGGATTTTTTTTTTAACCTGAGGGTGTGGAAGTGGTGATGCATACAATGACTACTAGTTCAGGTTGGTGTACTGCTTTTGACTCAGGATGCCACTAGTTTTGTCCACTATTGCTTTTGCACTATTGGTGCAAATGTTGACAAAGTAATGAAGGTAAATAATGTCTTAATAATATTTTGAAAATAATTTCATTTACCAGAGGGTACACATATTAGGTTGTTGGAAAAGTCATGACATATTTTTTTCTGTTTTTCAAGGGTCATTTATTTATATAAAGAACAAAGATCAATCAATGATATATTGCCTACTTTGTATGATAACCTTTTGCCATCTTTCAGTGAACTTCAGAATTCCTCATTCACAGAAGGACTTGTTTTTATCGGTAAAAAACTGAACAGAGTGCTGTTTTACAGCCTCATCTGAATTGAACATTATACCATATAAGGAGTTTTAAAGAGAGTGAGACAAGTGGAAGTCTGATGGCACAAAGTCAGACAGTATGGTGGGTATGCAAAACATCCCATCCAAGCTCCAGTAATTTTTGATGGATGACCAAACTTGCTTATGGTCTTGCATTGTCGTGATGGAATACAACTCCTTTATGATCAATGAGCTCTGGACATTTCTGGATGACCGATTTGTTAGAATTGTCCAAATGCCAACAGTATACATTTTAATTGATTGGTTGCTTGGTATGAGCTCAAAAAATACAACACCTTTAAAATCTCACCACACTGAGAGTATAACTTTCCTCCGATGAATGTCTGCTTTTGATGTCGTTTGAGGCAAATCATCATGTCAAGACTGTGTACCACATTGTTATAAACAATTTTACGCCACCATTTATTAGTTGCTTCATATTTAATAAGCATATCACAGATTTATTTAATATTTATTATTATTATTTATTTATTTAAAAAATTTGGCCAGAGAGAATCAGAGAGTGACAGAAAGGTAAACTGAGAAATCAAGCTGCCAGGTCTGGGACCTGAACCATGGTCCACCATGAGGGAGTCCAGTGCCTTAACCATACCACCTGCTGGCCCCCTATCACGGATGCTTGTTCGCGCTATCAAATAAACTTTTTTTTATAGACCATAGATTAGTTTATTTTTAACACTCATCATGCCATGAATTCATAGGGAATAGGTTCCAGTAGCTCCAGCTCCTTTCCACAAAGTGTGCTTCTCTGTGTGGAATAGACTGGTGCTTTAGTTGAATCCAGGTACCTTTCTCTTTGGCTTCTTTCTTTTTCTGGTCATTTTCCTTCACATGTTTTAGGAAGCTATCTCTGCTCTTAGAATGCTTAACATGCTCTATATGTACATTGATTCTCTTGGCAAGAATCTTGCCCTTAACTTGTTTGTTCACAACAATGCCAACAGCATGCTGGGTAACATTGTAGACTCTTCCAGTTTTGCCATGGTAACAT